GAGAGAGAGAGAGAGAGAGAGAGAGAGAGAGAGAGAGAGAGAGAAAGATCTAAACCCAGCGATATACGTTGAGCGTATTGCGGGAACCTAAAACTCCTTAAAACTAAACTCGCCGTAGCGGAAATTCGGTAGAGTAAATTTTCAAAAAACCATAGCCAACTTGCTCGGAAAAGTCTAGCGAAGCCCATGAAACCAAAATCATAATTTTGGGATCATTGGGAGCCACTCCAGATTGAGTTATCTCCGGAGGGACATTTAAACGGGGAACGCTTGCGGTAAGCGATAGCCATCACTTGTTGGCACATTAGGGGCGACCGTAAGGGGAAAACTCTACGCAATCTATGCGTAGGAAAAATAGGGATACTTCTCGCCATAGGGGCGAGAGAGAAGGAAATGACCTACGTCGAAAAACGCCCGATTTCGACTGGGAAAAGACGCCGACATTTTACTGCCACACAGATACACTCGCCGAACTCGTAGATTACCCCAAGAGATGATTGGGATAAACCGGAAGGGAAGAACTCGGCACCGACCCGATTTTGGGTGGAATATCCGATCCAAAAATCGGAAGGACCCATGGCTAATTAGCCGGGATAAGGGATAATGCCAATTTCGAACTGACAAATGTGATTAACGGGGGGTGATCAAACACTACACGTGGCTGAGGGCCACGCGAGGGATACCGCCATGACGGGGAAAACGACGCCATTCAAAAATGGCTCGAAATTAGAGGGAAAAATACCAGAAAACTCACGGCTTTTCGGTTTCTGAGGGTCCTCTTCCCTTTTCGGACCATCCTGGATCCTTACAGCTACAAGGTAACTCCGCTATAATCCAAGTGCGCAGTTGCGTAATGTGGGCACACAAAAATTCACACGCGACTAGTGGTTTGGGACGGTCAACGCGGAACTAACTGCCCTGGGTCAGTGTCACGGGCACTGAACGCAGCGCAAATTCCGGCCAACAGAGGCGGGCTCTGATTGGCGAAGATTTTAGCACATCAAGCAGGGGGTTTGATGGCGCCACTGAATAATTTCGGGGAATTCAAACGCGACTCAACTCTAATTATTTATTCTTTATAAAATTGACTAATAATAGACCAATAATGATTAATCTGGGCCGAACCCGTGGACGTTCGGAAAATTACCATGGATTTTTGGCGCTTCTTACGGGTCGGTTCTCCTGGATTCACGGGGTTAAAAGACCGATACTCCTAACTAATTTTCTCAAATTTCCCAAAATCTTTATGCAACCTGGCAATTCACAGGATACAAGGGTTGCACTTGTTCCGCGTGACCTTCCACCGAAAAACTGAAACGTAACCAGTTAACCACCGTAAAATCCATCATAATTTGGAGCGCCGGCATTTCAGCCGGACCTAAACGATTTACCGTAAGATTAACAATAGGGTGGTTCCCATAAAGGTTATCGGATGACTCTAAAATTTGGCCCTTCTTCACGATAACCCTATGGGCCCTCAAAAACGCCTAATTTCAGATCTTTATTAGTCAAAAACGAAACGAAACCGCAAAATTACTAAACGGGAGGGCGAAGCAACGAGACATAACTACGCTTAAATGGAAAACACGACTCGATTATCCCAGGGATAATCGGAAAAATGACCACATCGGAGTGGGAAGCAAAACCCTAATCTCTCTTTCTCTCTCTCTACTCACGATCCGTTTCCGAATGTCGCCGGAGGTGGATGTTCTCAGGTCCTGGTGGTATCTCTAACGAACATCCCCACATGTTCGTTACACTCCCCTCCTTTGACGGTTGGTATCCGTGTACGGCTGGGTGTTGGTGACCTGATGACGGTGATAGCTTTCTATCTTCCGGAAGGTGGGTATCCTCGTACTCTGCAACGGGGCTGTTAAAGGGAACCAAAACCGAACCATACTCTGAGATGTTGGTTGGATCAAAACTCACAACTATATATGAGAACACTATACTTTATTTGTTAATACTTTGTTTTTCGCCTTAGGCGCAGTCAAATACCACACTCCTAACAATTTGAGTGGGAAAACTAATTATTATTGTGATATCACATTTTTAGCCTCTCCAGGAGGTCTTTTCCACGGCGCGTAGCGAGGCTTTATCAAGAACAACAAAAGAAAATTATCACTGCCTTCGTGAGCCTTATCACGAGCCGAACAAAAAAATGAAATGGTGTATCAAAAAAAAAAGAAAAACAAGAGAAATTGACTGCTGGTCCAACCAGAGAATCATACCAAAAAAAACTTTAGATCCAAAATTGTATGGTGGATTATTGAGAGAAGAAAAAAAAAAGATTAACTTGTCTAAACCACCGCAGTTAGCGGGGACAAAAACAAACAAAAAAAAGAATTCACCAAATCGAACGGGGATAATAAAAAAAAGAGAACCGCCGTTTATCAACGGGGAGGGTACCTCGCTACCCAGGACTTAGGTCCGGGGGGAGGATTTTGAGGTAGCTGCTGTGCTGCCGGTTGACCTTGCGAGGTCTGCTGAACCTGATTCAGGAGCTGCTGCAGGGCCACGATTGTCTCTGGGGACCACTGTAGAGTTGGTGCCGTCGATGGTACCGGAGCCGGAGACGTCGATGGTGCCGGAGATGCTGGAGTCGGAGAGGTGTAGTAACCTCGGGTGGCGTCTGCGGACGCGCTCCAATAACCGGTCGCTGATCGAGGAGTCTCCTCTGACTGGGGAGGTTCCCAGAAGAATCTGAGGGTGGACCCCTCCGGAGGAGTCCTGGTGAGACCACGGCTGGACCAATACTCTCCAGACGTAACGGTCGCTGGTTTCGATGCCGTGGATGCTGAGGTGAAGGTGGCCCCGTAGCCCTCAGATGGGGATGGATAATAATCTCAAAAGCGCTCGTGGGATGCCCTTGGTGGTGATCTCGGACGAGATCTCTCCCGAGGTTCCCCGACCCTGGGGTGCTCTCGGTTGGGGCCTTGACTGCCTGAACGAGAACGGCGGGGGGTAGCACCCGTCGATGGAGCTGGACCGACTGAATGATTCCTTGGAACGGCTTCCAAAGGAGGCCTGCAGTCCTCTGCTGCCGATGTTAGCTTCGGGGGTTTTCGACCTGGCCCCGGGGTTGGCCACAAACCCGTGCTCCGGACACCTCTGGTAGGCACTGAGTCTGGAGGGGCACTGATGGCAAAAGGTGTCCCCGGTTGGGTTGGGACATATCTGGTGTGGATGACCGTGCTTGCGACAGTCAAAGCACCATGGCCTCGGCTTACGTCTTTTTCCTCCTTGGGACTTGCTTTGTTGCCCCCTATCGCGCTTGGGCCGAGTCCCTTCTTGATGGTCGGGGGTTTGCCGATTACTGGGTCCTCTGGGGTTACTCGGAATAGCCGGTGGTGCGTTGGCAGTGGTGACAGTCGGAGTGGTCGCGCCGTTCTCTCCTGGTGTTAGGGGGTTACCCTGCGTGGGCGGATTAACCTGGAGGGGTTGCTGTTTGGCTGACCCTCCCGGAGATGGAGCTGAAGGAGGCGCGCTCAGGGATACCTGAGGTTCCTTCGTCGGAGGTGATGATGGTGTGACCGCCGGAGGCATATCCAGGGTAGCTCTGGCGGAGGTTCTCTGGCCATCCCGGACTTCCGGGGACTGACCAGGATGGGCTTTCTCGCTCACTCTCGTACTCGTGAGGAGCGGATTTGGCAGACTCGACTCTACCTTAGGGGCTGATGGAGTCGGATGTGGTGAGGTTGGTCCCGGGGTCGTGCTCGCTAACGAGAATTCCTCCTGATTATCGAGCTCTATGAATTCGATGACATTACTCTCGCAGCTCCAGATGGAAGTGACCTGGGGTACTTCTGCGCCCGAGGATGGATGTGATAGGGATTTTACGGATTCCCCTAAACCAGGTTGACGAACTGGATCTCCGTCCTCTGGCTCCAGACATGTCTCGACGGAACTGCTGGAATTCGAGGAGGATGAGCTGGAGCTCGAGAAGCTCGAAGAGCTCGAAGAGCTCGATTGTGAGTCGGGGATTCGTGGACTTGAGGGGGCCGGTAGAATATCGGATAACTCAGACGTGAGATCTGGAACTGACGAGACAGTGGGGTCTTCGAACTGTGCCACCGACGGTACGTCGGGGATTACAACTTCCTCCCTCTCTTCCGTGGTGGTGATCTCCAAAAATCCCAATGGAAGAGGGGGGATCTCATACCTCCATCTTGTTAGTTGCTGAAGTGGAGCAAGGGAGCAGGTGGACAGGGCGTCAGCGAAACCTGGGTTCGTCTTTTCAATGCTCCTGATGTCGGCGAGCCAGGGTCCGATAGGATCCCAGAAACGTGGGAAGCGAAGGGGTGATCCGGGTTGCTCCCTTGGAGGTGTTCGTTCTTGATTCGGTCGGACGAGTGCGGCCGTGGATGGCGGAGTAATCGCCTCCGTCTCTGGGGAGTAGCGCTGCGGGCACGGAGGTGAGCCCAGCTGTTCGACTACCTCCTCTTCCAGGAATGAATAATCGTCAAGGTCTTCGACCGGGATCCCCTCCTGGAACAGGACGCATTCCAGGGCGAGCTGGGCGTTCAACAACGCCGCTTGCTGACTGGTGGTGGGCGCCGGCTCGTCCTTGGTCTCCAAGCCTAGGGGAGGTGAAGGTGGTGGGCTTCCCGTCAGGTCCACCGTCAGGCATTCTGCCTCGGTAGTGGTGGTGACCTCCGGTGATGAATTCTGCAACAAGAGAGGGAACACAGAGAGTTTGTCCGGAAAATTACCGCCCTTTAGGGGGAGAGATGAACGGTATTTCGTTATAGGGTCGAAGTATCATTCGGCCACGACTGAGGTGGATTCCTTTCGGACCGTGAAGGTATCACGTAGGGCTACCCTGAGATTTCAGGGGTCCTCAAGAGGGATTCGATAGGGTTTAATGTCCTGTATCGAAGATTCCCCTTGACTCTTCCCTGAGAAGTCCGCAAGTTGATAACGAACTCGGGAAACCTTTTTATGAACGACGAAAGGACCTTCGAATGGTGGCACAAGGGTCGCGGAGAAACGCTTGACCGCATTCGATAGGGAACGTCTCATGAAGAGGTCACCCTCTTGGAACTCGACGTCTCGTCGACGGAGATTATAGTGATGGGCCTGCTTGTCAGCGGATTCTCGCATGGCGTGAATGAGGATTTTCCGGAGCATCTCCAGCTTCCGCATCCTTTCAACCCATTCCTGGGGTTCGCCAGGGATTATTTCGACGTCTCCTTCGAGCTCGCGTCGAAGGGATACCGCAGCAAGAGGATTTCTACCGAAATTCGCAAATGCTGGACTCGTCTGGATGGAGCTGTGCTCCACCGTGTTGAAGGCGAAACGAAATTTGTGCAGGTGGGTATCCCACCTTCGGTGGTCTCCCTCCATGAAGGCTCTCAACATCATTTTCAATACACGACTAACCCGCTCGACTGGATTAGCCTGGGTATGATAGGGGGGAGATGTCTCGTACCTCATCCCCGTATGCTCTGCCGGAGCTTGGATCTCCCGATTAACGAATTCAGTACCATTATCGGTGAAAAACACGCGGGGGGTTCCCCAGCGCGAAATGATTACATTTTCCACCTGCTCCTTGATCGCCTTACCAGTGGCTCGGCGGATGGGGATGACCTCGATCCACTTAGTGAATAGGTCTTGGAGCACCAGCACATAGGAATATCCCGATTTGCTGGGAGTGATCGACCTTGGATAACACGCCGGCCCATGTGTCCTCGTGGCAAGGTGTTCTCAACCTTACAACGCTGACAGGGATCACAATGGCTAACGAAGGACACCACGTCACGGAACATATTGGGCCAATAATATGACACGTGCAGACGGCGATAAGTCTTGTCAACCCCCAAGTGGAAGGACAAGTGTCCAGGCGTCGAGGTCGACCATCTCCAACGTGACGAAGTTGGAGGGACGATGGGTATATAACCGCCCATCCACAATTTTCCAGTCAGGGAAAAAATTGGGAGCACGCTGAACATTACGATATTTGCGTGAATACCACCGATACCAAGAGACCAAAATTTTTATCCTTAAAATTTAATGGTGGAAACTATGAGAGAAAAATGTTTTTAAATGAGGCTATGATTGAAGAATTAAATTGGTGGGAAAAGAATGCTGCCATTGGAGCAAATCCAATTCGAGATGGAATATTCGCAATTGAAATTTTTTCCGATTCGTCTCTGTCAGGCTGGGGTTGCCATTGTAACAATGTCAGTGCTCATGGATTTTGGAATGATGAAAAAAATGAAAAACACATCAATTACTTTCAGTTATTAGCTGCTTTCTTCGCACTCAAGTATTTTGCGTCAAATTTATTTAATTGTGAAATTTTATTGCGCTTAGATAACACTACTGTAATAGCTCATGTGAATAGATTTGGAGGTGTACAACTTCCTCACCTGGGCAAATTGTCAAGAAAAATCTGGAGTTGGTGTGAAGAGAGGAAATTATGGATAAAAGCTTCGTATATTCGCTCAGCGGAAAGCAGTGAAGCAGATAGCGCATCTCGTATCACTAACGCCGATACAGAATGGGAACTTTCTCAATATTTTTTCAATCTAGTCGAGAAAAAATTTGGACCTTTCACAGTCGATTTATTTGCATTGAGATTAAATAATAAATGTAAAAAATTTTATTCTCGATTCCCAGATCCTGAAGCTGCGTTAGTAGATGCATTCACAGATTCCTGGAAGGATGAAATGTTTTATGTCTTTCCTCCCTTCGCACTAATCTCTCGTACTTTGAGAAAAATTATCACTGACAATTCAGTAGGAGTACTGGTGGTGCCATTCTGGCCCACGCAACCATGGTACCCTTTATTTACCTCGCTCCTTACTGAATCTCCAATAATATTTAATCCTACAGAAAATTTATTGGTATCTCCTTATAGGAACGAGAACCACCCGCTAGCATCCCACCTTTAATTGGCGGTATGGAAATTATCCGGACAGCATATCTGAGGAAAGGAATTAGTACAGATTCTGTTGATGTATTAATTTGTTCCATCGCACCTTCAACACTCAAACAATACGAATGTCAACAAAAATCCTGGTGGAACTATACTCATGCTAATAAGTTGGAGACTTTCAATCCAAAGACAGCAGATATTATTAATTTTCTCCATTTAAGATTAAAAGAAGGTGGAAAATATAGTACTTTAAATACCACCAGGGCAACTATCTCTCTCATCGCAGCCCAGGATATCAATGTAGATGGCTTGATCTTACGTTTTATGCGGGGTGCATTCAGAAAGAATCCCACGAGATCAAAGTATTCTTCAACGTGGGATATCTTTCCAGTTCTACGTTATTTAGAAAAATCGAAACCCTTGAAGGAGTTAAAATTAGAAGAGGCGGCCGGAAAAGTGGCGACACTTTTAGCTTTGACAACGGCCCAGAGATCACAGACTCTTTCATTGATTAATGTTGAGAATATTGTTAAATCGGATACGGGTATAAGTATAAAAATTACAAGTATTACTAAAACATCAAAAGTTGGATCAACCAGTCCGGACTTAACTTTACCGTTTTTCAAAGAAAAGCCTGGTTTGTGCGTAGCGTCTGTAGTATTAAATTATATTGAACTATCCCAGTCTTCGAGACCAAAACACTAAAAATTTTTTTATCGCAACAGTGAAACCGTATGAAGCGGTGAGTGCGCAAACTATTGGTCATTGGATAGAAGATGTATTCAGTAAAGCCGGTATCGATATGAATCATTTTACTGCCTATAGTACGCGACATGTAACTGTTTCTGCTGCTCACAAAAGAATAGTGGATATCGATACGATTAGACGTACTGCTGGTTGGGCATCTGGATCTCAGACTTTCTTCCAATTCTATAATAGGACCATCCAGCAACCCAATGACAAATTCGCACGTACAATTCTGGAATAATTATAAGGCGTTTTGTTCTAATGTTTATTTGATTTATACTTATTCATATTTTCCACTTTGAATAAATCGTTTGAACAGATCTATGAATTATCTGTTATGAATTATCACACGCTTTGAAGCACTACAATTATAGTAATTATTGTCATCGAGAACGAGACTTGCAATACAATCGATCGATCGATCTAAATTATATGAAAAGTCTCGTTCGAAGATGATAATACCCCTCCCAACCCAATAATTGAATAAATGAAATAATGAATTTTTATACCCATCATCATCTTCTCGAATCGTGATAATTCGAAATTTCATCAAACAAAACAATATAAAGTTGGTGGAGCGTCGCAGTGGATAAGGTGGCGCAGGGTGCTAAAAAATTTTGAATTTAAAGACGTTAAATGTTGTGATTTGAGGCATGACAATCATGACTACAATTATAATAATTATTATCATTTTCGAACGAGACTTTTCATATAATTTAGATCAAACTTCGCCCGCCTTCGGCGGGCTCGTTTGGTCGATCAATTATATCCATCTTTCTGCAGTGGCGTATCGACTAGATACTTGGACTGGGTCGCAGAGAACCGGGGTTCGAATCCCCAATGATTCTAGATGATTGTTATTGATTTTTCGAACACCGTCTCGATTTCTAGAATCTTCACAATGGATATCTATAAACGAGACAGGGGAATAAAGAACGAAAGACTAAACACGAAAATGAAAAATAAACGATGCTCGAAAGGGGGGAGAGCGATCCAAGAATTAGGGGCCTGAAGACTACACATGATGGAGAAGAAAAACTAGAAAAAAAAAATTTTTTTAATTGAACGTCCAGTCGAAAATGTCAGCAGAAGGGAGGCAAGTGGGAGGGGTTGGGTGGAGGAGGGTTACAATGTTGCTCCCATGAAAAATAAACGAAAATTTCATCCACGGAAAATTTACGTCCTCTAACATTCCTCCAACGTCCTAAAACATTGACTGATCCAAAGTCAGAATTTTCTAACATGAATGTTGAAGGAGGTTATACAATCGAAGAGGTGGGGAGATAAAACTGGGCATGAAAATTATGAATGAAGCGATACTAGGAAATATTTTAATAGCAGAAATTCCGAATGAAAATCTTGGCTAATGATCATGACGTAATGGTAGGGTTGTAAGGTCGTGAATGTCTGTTTCTCGGCATCACGGCAAAATATCAGTCTCAAAATATCACACCGCAAAATATCACATGAAAAAATATCACATTGATAAATATCATAAGATGAAAATATCATTTGTGATAAATATCATTTTTTAAAATATCATAACATCATGTAATTTTTAAATTTTCAATAATATTAATTAATTTTTTAAATTTTCAATATATTCAATGATATTTCAATGGTTTTTCTTGATTTTTCGTCGCGTGTGTGAACACGGCCGTGCAATTCTTTCTTTCTCCGATAATTCATTACCACAATACGGCTATTTAATTCCATTTTCGGTATGTAAACACTGCTGGGTTTTTCCCTCTCCTTATAAATCAATACATTGATTTTCTGTTTCGGTTTAGGAGAAATTGTTTGATTTGTTTTCAATTCATGTACACTCGTAATTGTTTTTTTTTTAAATTTGTTTATGATCATTTTGGTTTGTGATATTTTTTGTGTGTGATATTTTGATTTGTGATATTTTTTACCGGTGAGATTTTGTTTCGTGATATTTTGAGGCATGATATTTTGCCGGTGATATTTTGATATGTGATATTTTGCCGTGGAGCCTGTTTCTCTGAAACATGAATTCCACAATATCGAAACGACGTAAGTCCGTGTTCAAATGAGAAAGGACTACGTCTGACTTGGGATAAAAAGGACCTTAGTGGGAATAACTCATTTTTCGGGTTTCATATTTCCGTGAAGAACAATGTAAGAATTTCGGGAGCTAAAAAGGCGTGAGTGTACGCCCTTCTTATCTGACATGCATATTTACAGCCTTCGGACACTAAATTTGTTTAATTTTGATGTGGATACGTCTATGTTTTCATTATGCATTTAGGTAAAAGTCCTTATTATAGTCTTCTTTTCGTAGCGCCAACTATCGCAATTCTGGAACATTCTCGATTTTCTAGACAATTCTACATTTTTCGAGATAATTCAAGGGAATTCAGGGAATGTCTAGAGATTTCGAGAAAAATCAGGGAGTTTCTCGAACTTTCGAGGGAATTCAAGGACTTTCTAACAATTTCGAGGAAATTCAAGGTTTTTCTAGAAATTTCGAGGGAATTCAGGGAGTTTTTGAAAATTTAAAGGAAATTCAAAAAGTTTCTAGAAAATCCGATGGAGTCCAAAAGTTTCTAGAAATTTTGAGGGGACTCAGAGGAATTCCACGGATTTCCAAAAATTTCAAGGGAACTCAAGGAGTTTATACAAATTTCGAGAAAATTCGAGGAGTTTCTAGAAAATTCAAGGAAATGCAAGGAGTTTCTTAAAATTTAGAGAAAAATCAGGGAATTTCTAGGAA